TTATAGTATTTGATACTGTATTGTTAGCCAGGCACGGCTGAAAGGTCAATATAATAAAGATAATAAATATATATATATAAATGTATAATGTTATGAGATTTAAGCTATTTGGTTTAAACATTTATGTTTTTGTGTTATAATCTGTAGTTATTCTAGAACAAAAAATGCATAATTTATATTTATTTCCTAATTTTTTATGGTGGTTACAAGGTCAGTCAAATTGACAAAACCCATACAGAGATTCCATAGTGAAAATAACAGATAAAATAGTTTTTTCTTAAGAAACATTTGATAACTATATGGACATAAGGATTTTGCATGTGAAATTTGAAAATTTTCTGATGCATAAAAGTATTTTTAATCTTGTTGGATAGGCAACATGCAAAAAGAAAAAAGGCATGAGAAATACAATGCTTAACAAACCTTAAGACTTAATAAAAAATACATGATATTTTGCATGTGAAAGCATTATAATGTTTACTGATAATCTGCCAAAGTTCATGAATATACGTTTACTAATTTAAAAGTTATAGCATGAAAGCTGTAACAAGCACAAAATGGTTATAAAGTCAATCCCAGGGACCGAGCCCGTGCTAAAAGAGGTAAGGATGACAGCAAAGAATGGTAGTAACAGAGAAGGCATGGTTTTGAGTTTCAGTTTTATTATGTTGTTTCTGGTCCGTCTCTTTCTCTCTCTCTCTCTATATATGTAGACACTGTCATGATATAATGGACCATTTAGTTTAGATATTAATGATTAATTTATTTTTGTGAATGAATATTTCATTAGTATTTAGTTTTTGATATAATAAGAGTTAAAGACAGACAATATCAGAAGAGAGTAAAGTTATAACAAGGAAAAGTTTGATGTGAAGTTAACTATCGTAGAAGTGATAGACCTAACATTTAATAACTTATAGTAAGACTAACAGTAGAAAAGGAGATAAGAAGAATAATTTATTCTGTCAAAGCATGGTTCTGAAGTAATTGAATCAGCCTGAGTGCAATTTGTAAAAAGGAACAGAGGATATTTAGAAGAAAGAAGACCAAAACAATTATGGTAACTCGCACCACAACTGTAAGTGAATCACATAAAGATTACTGGTGCGATAGTATTAGAGAAAATAGTTCGGTTTGTCATCTGAAATTCTAAAGTAATTGAATAGACTTAAGTGGACTTTTGCCATAAAGAAAACTATACATATAGTGCTTATTATATGCCTATAACCTCTGTAGCATGAAGAATTTGTTGCAAATACATTTAATTTTTCCAAATATATATATATATATATATATATTATTTTAAAAACAAGTTACGTGCATGCTGTTTATTTATCATTGAATTTATTGCTAACAAGTCACAGACACCTACTGTAGAAAAATCCTTAGCCCAAGTATAACAGTATATATTTATACTATTAAAAAGTATAATTAAAAGCCTTTTATTTTGACACATGGCAAAATTAAGTTAAAACTATTGGACATCAGTATGACACTTGGTGTTATAAGCTCTCTCATTACAAGAATTGTTTTTCTGATGGAATGTGCATAATTAATTTTGCACAGCTATGTTTTTAGCATCTAGGGGGAAAAATACAAAAAACTGTGAACTTGTTAGACAAAATTAATGGATAGTCTCTACAACTCACCACAATAAAATCATGAATGAATCGTCCATGTCGACCATGAGAGAAATCTGGTACCTCGATCTGTTCATACTCTTCATACTCTATGTCAATCTCAAACTCTTCCGTAAAAAAATTCTTGTAGGGGTTCTTTGTTGCTTGTACCATGTTGCTTGAGGATGTAGAGAAATTTTTCTCAAAAGATTCCTTGTAATTTCTGAAGCCATTAGTTACAACTTGCTTCTGTTCTGATGCATACACATTATATGGAACAGAGCACCGACCTCGGAACTGACGGAACTAAACAGAAAACCAAACTGCTGATTACCACACATTTATCTTTTTAAAGTATGAGTATATAAGAAACTGGATATGGTTGCTTAACAAATGTTGTTATACAGTTCCATAAAAGTGGAATTTTCAAAACTTATCTCAAAGATAACTATAAACAGTAATCTTTTATTTTTATTACAAGTAAAACATAAAACTTGTAGTCTCTGGCACTGATATTATATACATTTTTTATTTAGTTATGTAATTACTATAATTGCTGGTTTAAGTTTGAATGTTATTAATGAATATCTATATAATACTGAAAATATTTACTCCATGAAAGCTTTCATTACCAGTTCATTATAATATGTCTGTGCTAGTGTTAAGTCAATTATTTAAAGTTCATGAATTTTGAGATACCGCACAAAAAATTTTGCTTTGTGTGTGTATTATTTTTTACAAAATTGTTATGACTATAAGCATACACACAAATTATATTTTAAACTCTGATCAACCAAAAACTGTAACACTAAAATTCAAAATGTGCACAAAAAGATTCAGAACTGAAGCTCATTAGACAATTCTTTATTTAAGATATTTTAGCATTGAATATTAAAGGATTCTTACACACCACAACAATGCAAGTTCATATTACAAGCAAGTTCTCCCCATCAAAGTACTGCAGATCTCCATGATAGCAGCTGCATCATGATGATATTTAATTTATAAAGTCATCTTAGTTCTAAGAAACTTGGCTCATTAAAATAAGGAAAATATATAAAACTTAATATATACCTAAGAATATAATATCTAATACTAAAACCTCTTAAATAAGAAACTCCCAGTGAGCTTCAGTTTTGAATTTCCTTCTTGTGTAATATTTGAATTTTGTAGTGTTAAAATTTTATTGTTGGCAAGATCTTAAAAAAAAAAAGTTCTTTTTTATGTGTGTTCAGTCATAAAATTTATGCTAATCAAAAAATATAATTTACATAGTACAGGTATACCATCTATAATGCAGATTTGGAGTTACACGATTTATTTTTCAAAACCAGAATTGCTATAACCTGCTTCATGATTTGGAGTTATAAAGATTTTAAATATAAAAAAATTTAAGAATATAAAAAAAGGTGAAACAATCATGCCAATTCTGTGAGAAAGGTCATGTAGGTGAAACTGGAAGAAGCATTGACAGAATAGTTTCTAAACATAAAAAGATATAAAATATGAAAATCAACAAGAATTTTACAAAATGGATAACTACATAAAAGAAGAATCGTTGAAAGTTACTTAACCAAAATCATGCCCAACTTCAGCTCTTCCCAAGGTCACTTTAAGCTAAATGACTTCCTGTCCTCCTGTGTCCTTAAGGGAATTCCAAGAACAATGGTCACAGAAGTGTTTGCTGACCATTTTTTTCCTGCTATAAGACAATGTGAGACCAAGAGAGGGTGCAAGAATGTGTTGAAACTAGTTTCTCTGATTTCAGATTTCTAACAGTTCCATTTAATGTGGTTTTTTTCACTAATTCGTACCCAAGATATTATGTTATTTGTCTTCAAATTAAATGTCTTGCTTATAATATTTGTTTCTGTACATTAATATGTATCATTATATGTTGTAAAAGTGATCTATATCATTAATAAAATTGACTTTTTGGAAAAATAATTTTGCAGGAACACATCCCTGACTTATAACATTGTTCCTATGGGAAAACCTGCACATTATAACGCATGCTTGTATAATTTGTCGTTTTTAGGAACACATTCTGAGTGTTATTGCAGGTATAACTGTATTTCAGAATCCCTAATCTTTAAAAACTTATCTGAACCTAGCAACAGACATATTACAGTGAATTGGTAATGAAAGCTTTTGAGAAAAGTATTTTCAGTTTAATGTCAATACTAATTAATTCAATAAAACTTGTGGATCAATGTAACAGTGGATTGTGTACTTAAACATGCATTGAAAAAAATTTAAAAATGCAATGTAATTCTTTTCACATAACTCTCATTCTCTGCAGCACAACTGTTTGTGGTTGGAAGTATTCCACACTAATTACATGTTTGACAAAAGTGGTTAGCATAACATGCATTTTCAAAATGAAAAAATGTTTTCAGGTTACTAGTGATATCCTTCAATGTGCTTTCAGTGTTAAAACCAAATTCAATATTAATATCAGTTTCAGATGAAGACTTTGTTTTTCATTTACTACCATTCAACACAATGGGGTTATAATGCATCATTGTATGTAGCAAAATTTGTTGGACATTATCCAGGACTGATAATTATCTCATGTGGCATTTTCCATATCAAACAACAGTCACTATTTAAACTCTGATTAAGAAAAAAGAAAATTGTAAACCAAAAAATATAAATAATTATATGATTATAACACCTTTTGATTTAGAACAAACAAAATACTTATGGTAATCCTTTTAAATATCCATAACAGCTTTAAACACTTACCTTGTACTGCGAAAATTGTCTGTACAAGCACACTCCACCAATGATGCCAAATGTAAGCACTAACAATGCAGTAACAAAGACACACAGAGTTGTAGCTGAATTAACACGCCTAGCACGTTCCTGGAATCTCACTATTTTTGCCTTTGGATGTCCTACTTCAACATGCCCATTTTCCACCTCAGACTAAATGAATTAACATATAGATTATTATAAACATAAATGCATATAACAAGAAAAGTGCACAGTCTTGTTATAGTAATAAATACAACTTTCACAGAATGTTACAGCTTTTCATGTGCTATTAAGTTACTGTTAAATTTAAAACGTCAATTAGTTCAAGTTCAGAAAATATTCCAACAAGACAATACTCTATCACTTAAAACAACTTTCCTTAAACACGCATTCAAAATTCACAATGTTCTTATTTGGTCTGCATAAAACACTGACGAGAGTAAATTAAACAAATGTTTGACATAGAATTTGGATATTTTAAAGAACACAGTAAACAGAAAGATAAAAGTATAAAAGTTCAAAATAAAAAAGTAATCAAAACCACAAGAGTGATTAAGTCTAAAAAAAAAAAAAGACAAATTAAGAAAGTAAAATTCAAGATAAGAGGCTTCCAGACTCTTACTCACAAAATATTCTTCTAACTTACCACAATTACAATATTTTACTTATCTCTGATATTTTTGACAAAATTAAAGGGTTAAAAAAAAACCTTTAGAAATTGTATATTTTCAGTTTTTATTAACTTTCAAGAAACATGGCTCATAAAAAAAATAATCCACATCCCTTCCTTGTCCATTGAAGTTAACCCACTGACTGCTGATCCGCTGTACATTATGTACAGCTTGTAAAAATACCACTCACGTTTAGAGCAGCCACAGTCAATGGGTTAAATGATATCTCTGTGTGTGCTACTCACTAATCTGGTGTCTCAAGTTAAGAGTGCTTGTCAGTTTAAAAAGATTTGCTGATTGAAGTAACTGTTCAAAGTAACATTAAGTTTATCTGTATTCACATTTCTTCTGCAAAAAGTTTACAGATATCCTTAGTTCTACCTATTACTTTGCAAGATAACAGCTGGCTAAATTGATTCCATGATTACTAAATTATATCACCTGAAAGAAATTAAGATTCAAATACTCATTGAAAATGACTAATCTGTGGCGTATTCTCAGTATATCCTACACCATATTATGATCACTTCTGACAGATAATATTCTTTAAGAATACAGCCAAGTGCAATATTCAATTATTTTAAAAAATTGTTGGCAGTTTTTAAAAAATGCTATGGCAAACAATTTTTATAGTTTATTGTCACAGAAAAAATTCCAACTTGTCATCAGCTTCATTTTTAGAATTGGCACATCTAAAACCTTGTAATCTTTTTATATGTGATTGCACTAACACAGATGAAAATATACTTGCATTAGTACAAGTGTTCAATCAATACATGTTTTCTAATGACATAGTACACGCATTGTACTCACAGCAACAAAATTATTTGAGGAATGCTCCAATGAAAGGAGGAATTTACATACATAACTGATCATAATCAAACATGAATTATGCAAAAATTCTGATTTTGGTACATAATAAAGGAAGAAAACTATCCTGATCAAAAAGAAATGATCCATTATTGACTTGAAAGATTTCATTAATTTAATGCTGAACTTGCAAATATAACAATATTAAATAACAACAGGGATTTTTTAGTCTATTTAGCCTGTCCTATTTACTATACTAAAATAAACAAAACTCAAAGCCAGCCCTTATCATTCCCTAGTCTTATAATTCTCACTATTAAATATGAAAAAAGATGATACTTAAACACTATCACTTCCCTTAACAATCTTAAACACCTCAATCAGATCCCCTCCGACTCATTTTTTCAAAAGAAAACAAGTTTAAAAATCTTAACCTCTCCTCATATGACATCCCCTCCATCCCAGGCACCATTCTAGTAACCATCATCTGAACTCATTCCAATAATTCAATGTCCTTCCTAAGGTAATGAGCCTAAGACTAAACACAATAATTCAAATGTGTCCTAATCAGTGACCTATACAATGAAATTATAACCTATTTAAACTTGTATTCAATATTTCTGTTGATACAACCTAAAATCCTATTTCCACTACCACTAGCAATGGCACATTGCTTGGATGGCTTGACCATATGTTTACGAGGACCCCTGTTCTGCACACAGAGATTTTATTTCGTTACATTCAAAATTCAATAAAGCAATCATACAAACAATATATGCCAATGAAATTAGCATTAAAAGTTACATTACAGTTCAAAGTTTTATATTATACAAGTTTTAATTCATTTACTTCAAAAGAAACCATAAAGAAAAATTACTAAACGTAAGTTTGACACAAAAGTTTAGAAAACTTAACTTCTGGACTTTGTAATTTGAATACTTCTTGACGTAAGCTAACCTTTCTTAGAATCTAGGTTAATTGCTCTATCACATTCTTCTTTCAAGCTCCTTAGGTTACGTCTGATCTTTTTAACATATGACACACCCACATAGAGTTGTGATTTGCCATCCAATTATACTCAGTTGAGCTAGATGTTCATAACCAATAGAGAGACCACATTTTAAAATACACTCTTCCAATAGTTATTTTGAAATTGGTGTGAAGAATTCCATAGATAAATTGTCAAACTGCTCTTAGCATTGTTGCTGCTTTTGTCCTTGCTAGCACTTTAGTGTTGTTTCTCACCTATAAATATCTTAAATACACAATTAAATTGTACTTAGGTTTCAGTTTTATAATTGAGTTGTGTTATTTATGTTTTAAATGCATATTAAAAAGGTTTAATAATTTTTTTAAATATAAGCCAAACTATCTCAGTTCAGCAGGCTTAGTGTAGTAGGCGAATGCCCACTGATGTGTCTTGAGATAAGTAATAATGCTAAAGGACAGGACAGAAAATAAAACATCAAAAATAAACTATAGGTGGAAAAGTAAAAACTTACAATTAAGAATATAACTGAAAGAGGGTATAAAGGTGTGTACAGTTTGTTTATTTTAGTTTCAAGCATTCCATTGCACAATATATTGAAGATAATACTCAAAATATTCAGTCTGAGTGCAAATAACTACAATCCAAAAATAAATCTTTAGTTAAAATGTTTAATTAAGATAATCTTTCTTTTTGTATAAAATACTTGTAATCTTTAAGAAAATCTTGCCAATTGTTCTGCATATATGTTAAGAAAGCTCAGAGTTATTCCAAGTGTTGTTAAACCGTGTATCATTTTCCATACAAGAAGTAGCCTAATGGGTTCAATCCTGTAACCATACGGTTACAAGACAGATCAACTACTATAACAAGATCCCTTTCTTTAATGATACTGTTAAGGTTATACCATCTAAATTATAAAAATAATTCAAATTATGATAACCCACATGCATTATCTTTTATTTAATATAATTAATACCTATCTGTCATTTATTTGCTTAACTCATTAAATGATCTAAATCCTTTAGTATAGCAGAAGCATCTTTCTTACAGCCAGCAACACCCAGCAAATTTAAGTAATTTATTGACAATTCCTTTATCTATGTCATTGATGTAATTCAAAAAGAGCAACTGTCCTAAAACAGATCCTTAAGGTACCCCCCACTTGTGACATTAACCCTTTCACAACAGGTCACGTGTCAAAGGCCATATCGCATTTGTTGACTTGCATTCAAAATTTTAGTATTATACGTTAATCTCTTAATTTAAAAGTAAGTATTAAAAAAACACAGCTAAACATAAATTTTTGTGTGTCACATGGTATGTTGAATGCAGCACTGGTTCAAATTAAATGTTTATGATACCAAAATACAAAATTACAGTTTCATATGAATTAGGTACCCAAACTACCAATATTGTCAAGCTAGAATACAAAATAAGAACCTCTTATCTTTTCTATTTGCCAAGATATCACTAATTTCCTGAATCAAACACACTGGCCCCCAGTCCACCTTTTTCCATTTTTGGAAACCATCTCTTATATACTCTTACTTCTATATATGACATGAATAACAAATTGAAAGCTGAGAATGACCCCCCAGCGGTTTTCTCAGGCATTCTGACGTGTTGTTGTGTTAATTTCATTCTTTTCAGACAAGATTTCAAATGATAAAGCAAGTCTTAATGTGATCAAATTTCATAGACCCAAATACAACTTCATTACTATGCTTGATAAATTATAGTGGAATTCTATGGTATCGATATAATATTTTATGATTTTTAAATTATTTAAAAAGTATTTTTGAAACCTAAAAAAATTTTTTTCACATCCTCCATGTAGGAAATTTCATAAGGCTTAGCAACCTACAACATGGGGAAAGGAGTACAAAGGTCATAACTAGAAGAGATAATTGTTTGCTTTACTTCTTTATTCATTATTCTATGTTTTAAGAAAAATAAGTTTAAGAACTTGCTTGTAAACAGTAACAATGTATATACATATATAGTGTATAATAATTGAAATGTGACTATTTTACAAAATACTAGTCTACTAAAACACAGCCAA